AACCTCAATCACCTAATGTATAACAGCCATTCATTTGGAGAGGGAGCAAATTGGCGAATGGTAGGTGAAGCTAAAGTAATTTCAGCCATGTTATTGAAGCGAGACAAGTTGTTAATACAGCGCCACGTGCGTTGTTAATGCTAATTATCACCCTGCTGGTTGTGTCTGGGCTTGTATAACATGGCACCTAACCTAACCTAACCTTGGGAAAATTATGTCACAAAACTCAAGATAACTTCAAACATTACAACAATACACCAACAGCACACTGATATTTTTTTGCTAAGAGCGAGTATCAAGACTGTAATAAGTCCCTAGAAACATAACGTAGTGACTGCACTGTTAATATACGACTAGTAGCTGGTTTCGAACCTGCAACGTCTAGTTTATCAGATTAAGACTATATTTTACCACTGAGCTACCATGTTAAATAAGTTGTTAACAAATTAAGAGGAACACTTTGTAAACATTTATCATCAGCGTGGAAAATTTTAACAGTGAATTTAATTAAACTTTTTGATTGTCTATGCATTTCATCAATGTATGTCACCGTGTTTTACCTAACCCTCTCAACTCCAAATAACCTCCACTCCACCATACAACCCTAGGCCCAGTACAATAGAGGCTGTAGACTACAGAGCGGCTCACTGACGTCCCATCCCATATTTTCCGCATTGTTATGTTATGTTACGGCATATAACATCCGCATATCCGATGTCTGCCTGCGCCGGTTTTACATTTTATTGTTTACGGAATCACGAACATGTGGTTCGTCCAGGGTTTGGGTGACATTTTCCAAAACATGTGTATAGTTGTGCTTAAATTTTACTAAGATGAATGTTCTTAAGTACTGTATTAGCACGAATAAAACACGAAATGACTACGAATATGCTATTATACAGAACTGATTTGTAGTGTCGTATGTAACCACTAACTACTTAATTCGATTTGTTACGTCTTTGTGAGCGTCAGTTTACCAAACTAGTCAGCGTAATTTCGCTTAAAAAAATTTAAATCACACACGGAGGTAAGGAAGCTTTTTCCCGTAAAAGAGTCGAGGGGTAAAAATTATTCATTTATATTGTAATCAACTATCATCACGATTTAGAAAATGTTTAAATAGAAACAGCAATAGTGCCACATCCTTTAACCTAATTCAATAAAGTTTTCTTTAAGCAAGAAACTGGTTACGACTGATTCATATGATGTCAATAAAGCTAACTGGTATTAAAACCAACTGATTATCAAATTGGGATAATTGAGTAAACATTTTACGTAATGGTAATACTTAAAAGATTTCATAAGTATAAAAAATGCATTACTTTAACACAAATTAAAGCAATACTAAAACTTGGTGAAATTGGATGGCAAAATTGTTGTCTAAATTCAAAATATTTATCATTTCAGTGTATTTATACGGCAAAACATAAAATGTTTAGTACCAAAATTTACAACAGGTAGGGGCATCATGGTATTACAGCGAGGCTAAGAGTAATTTGCTGTGTAATCGTTTGCAATCATGTTGCGATGTTTAGCCCGGTCAGTCACTACGGCCTATTATGGCTTGTTCGGTTAGTTTATGATTCACCGGGCTTACACGTCCAGTCCAATTAAAACCAGGGAACATTTTCAGAATTTATTAAATTTAGGGCTTAATTTGTGGGTTAGTTCGTTAAATTTGACAGAACGTGGTATATGTAAAAGATGGTGACATTGTAGGAAACAAATTTAACCTAGTTGCAAAAATAATTATAATTGTTACCAACTCCTCTAGTTCAATTCGAATGATCACAAACCAAACTGTTAAATGTCCAAAGCTTAGAATAACGAGAATTTTAATCATCAACTTCTAAAAAAAATATAATTCTATTGGCAAGATCAAACAATTTGGTGCACAGTCCAACCAACAGGTCCTAAAAATTATAAAATAAACTAGGGTTAAGTCATTTTGCATATACTTTGGTAACGTCATTAAAAACTGGAAATTGTAGCTGAAAGTTACAGGTAGCCGAAAATAATGTATAGATAAGCTATCCATATGAGTTTATTCACTGAAAAGGCATTAGCAGTTGTTGTTTTTGCAATGTGCTGGTTTGCGATAAGGTATACAATTGTTGAAAATTAGAAACTGCGCATACTGGAAGTAGCTGAAAGGCAAGAACGCTAAATAGAGAATGTTCATTTAGGTTTCTTTAGAGAGAAGTCATTAGCAGTGTTTTGTTGGGCTCAAAGCTGCTTCGAGCGATTTATTGTAAATGCTTGTAGTTCAAGACGTACGTAATTCACAGTAACTCGATCATCCTTACACTGTTAAGCACAATTGTGAAGAAGCCCGCATTCAAACTGTTCCTCAAACTTTTCAAACCTCATCTGCAAGTTTGCAATAGAAATTACTGTATTATAGTTAGGAAAGGGGAAGGTAAAGGGGTGAGGGGTGAATCGATACAAGCGCTTGTACCTTTTCTACAGGGCATAAAATTAATTAGTCTTTTAAATTCTCTACAACACGTTTTTAGGTTCGGTTAAATTTAAGCGTTTAACGAAATGGGAAACTCTGCACCAGCTGATAGTAGTCGTAGTACATTTAAGAGTTGCCAACTTCTTTCCAAGCGTGGTACGTGCCTAATAAAAGCAGATTAATTTGTTTGATTGGAATTCTAGAGTGCGACAAAAGTAAGTAAATGCAGCAATTAGCTACTTTGCGTGCTATTAGTGCAAGGAAGCCCAATTTGTCAGGTAACTGTAGGGGAAAATATGTAATCACCCGTCGCAGCTAAGAATACTGTATAAATATTCTTATGTTAATGAACCTTTTCAGGAAGAAAACTAAACATAAAAAAAGCAAACAAACAATTTACTTAAATTTCAACGTTAGTTTCTAAGATCACTATGTTTTTTTATTCACATATACTGAATATTATAAAAATCATATCCAAATGATAAAAGCAATCAAATAACATCAAAGTTCCTTTCCAAGTGAGCAAGGACAGAAAGCAGCAGGAAATCATGTTTGGACAAACTGTGTGTCTATTGACTTTGTCCGAAGCCTCAGGCCTTACCAAACAAACTCTGGGAAAATTGGAACAAATGCGCAGTCTTTTGAGAGGGTTACACGTCTTGAGTGATTTCAATAGAGTAAATTTGTGTTTTTTTTTTTTTTTTGTTTTTTTTTTTTTTGTTGAGGTAGTGAGTAATGTTATCTATATCAAACAAAGCTTAGCTTTAGATCGATTTTTTAAATGGTATATATATATAGGGAGATTAACTTGTACTGTAAATTAATGACATTGTTTCTCGCAAAGAAACTAATAAAACAGGCTCTTTTCGATAGAAAACGTAATTAAAACTCACTGGACAGTTACAAAATAAAAGATTTACAATGGTTGAATTGTCTCAAAGACCTAATGACGGCACTTCGTCGTTGATTTACGTGCTCTTTCATTAAACTATAAAAATCTACTTAAAACTAATGCGTTAGATCCGAACGTCGTACTACCAGTGTTTCTGAAACTTAATAGTTTTAGAAGTAAAACAACCCGTTACTGTAATAGACAAACATTATTCCCTACAAAGAAACAAATCAACCAAGCTCTTTACGCTAGAAATCGTAATGAAAACTCGCAGGGCCGTTACAAAAGGACAAATTAACAATGATAGAATTGGCACAAAGACCTAATCCTGCCACTTGAACATTTGCCGCCATTGTAACCACTTTTGATGAGATACCCGCGGGAAATCACCAGTCCGATTGACAACGGTTCCACAAGAAATACCCAATTTAATACCCGACCCTTCATTAAAACTTCTTGTCCCAATATCTCAATCATAATACTCAATAGTTTTCAGGGCAATTTCAGTACATCAATATCTCTTGATTTGTGAACAGCATTGAATTATTTAAAATGTTAGTAAAATATAATTTAATAATGTAAACAGAAGGCTTTTGTACTACCAATTCTTAGATAAACCAAAGTGATTGAACTACTTCACTGAAGAGAATGTTGAGTTTTTTTTTTGTAAATATATTCAAAAGTAGATTAATGTGATTGAAAATAATTGTCTTTTAAACTCGCAATTTAAAAATGTACTTTCTATAACTCCACAAAAATATTGGGAGGTGTAAACTAAGCCAACTCCTTTAAATAAAAAAATCTCTGTCGTGTTTAAACTAAAAAATCTTTCAATCACGGTATCATCACTTTCCAGTAAACAATAATTGCCTTTGGAAGTTTCGGCCAATTACTTTAATCTCCCATATTAATGACACTTTGGCACCTTATCTGCAGCGTACTTGTATAATCTGCGTAGATTTGCCAGCCAAACAGGTCAACAAAGTCGCCACTTGGCAACCCTCAGGCGGATTACAGGGACTACAATAACAACCGACATTAGACCTCTGTTTGGAAGGGTTTCAGCCTGGATACTAAATCAACAGTAAATTATTAAAGCGGTGAATGCTTGTGTACATTTAGCTGAAATAATACAAGAGGCTCAAAGACAATAAGATCTTCAATAAATGTTATTCAAATATTGATTCAATGGATGGACACCCGAATCTATGTCGCTCACAATAAATTTGACCGAAAACACTTATTGTGCTTTGTTTATGTCTAATAATTAAAAGTCTTTGTTTCGGTTGGATTCGAAAACTTGATATATTTACTATACACAATACCCCTCTCAAATAACCTTTTCAGAACAAAACTATTCACATATAACATGTTTCTGAAACATGGATACCATACTAAACAAACCCGAACAGAACAGAAGTGCATCTTGAAGAAGGTATTCATTTATCACCACCCGAGGATAGTGCAATATTTCCGATAAGGTTTTACTTTAGTGAATCCATCATCTTTAGATGCAAAACATTGTAGAAGAGCTTTATCACTCAAGTTGTTCCAAAGAAATCGTTCAGCAACGATAGTGTTTTCAAACTTCATACAAATGTAGCGTTTCATTATTGCGGTCCTGGTACTACAACGTGCACGTTGTTGCAGGTTTCTTCCCGCTGCCGCCCGTCTACTGCCTCGCCTGGATCTGTCTGGACGTGTTGTTCTGCACGGCCAGCATCATGCACCTCTGTACCATCAGCGTGGACCGCTACCTCAGCCTCCGCTATCCGATGAAGTTCGGCCGCAACAAGACCCGACGAAGAGTCACACTCAAGATCGTCTTCGTCTGGCTCTTGTCCATAGCCATGAGCTTACCCCTGTGCCTCATGTATTCTCAGGTAATGTATCGTTTGCTTAAACTATATATCAACTTAAAGTATTGACTTATGATACGAAATATGAATCTTGTACTAAAGTCAAAAGTTGTTCATCAAAAGTTATCATAAACAGTTAATACTTCATCGGTCGTTTTACAACTGATATCGTACGTACGGAATGTTCCTATGGACAGTTTCCTATTTTACATCATTTAGGGGATGCAGTACCATTACTAATAATAAGTTAAATAAAAATATTAATTGTATCATTTGAGTGAATCTGACTAAAGCCGACGAAATTTCTTTATATACACCGTTTTAGTGAATAATACACTGGATACTAAATACAGATATTTACACAAAACAGACATATATGTATCTTTTCGATACCCATGTTTTAAATCGAAAATTTGTGGTTAAAAAATACTGCCATTATGATTATTGCATAAATTATCCCCATATAAACGAGATATTAATTATTCAATTCCACACACAACAGCCGCACAGAATATAAATAATGCAACGTTGAACAGCACAAAAGGACGGATTGGAGGGCAGGGAACCGCTGCAGTTATAACAAGGTTTTCACAAAAACTAACAATGCAGTACGGTTGATAAAGAGGGATGAATACATTTTGTAGTTTCGGTTTATTATCGGAGCGACAAAACATTGACGATCACTGACGTTGCTGTTTTAATTTTCCTGCGACCAACTATTATATTTTTACCTCTGAACCCCCGATTTGTAAATATTTTAGACACATTTCAGGGGATGCGGAATACTATCCCCCGGAAAACTACCCCCCCCCCCCCAGGTGAAACGTGACGTCACAAAATTTGCCAACTAACCAATATGGAAGCCGTGTCCGCGACTGGAATGCTACCCCCCCCCCCTAGACAAATCATGCTATGTAATTTTAATTTCAATTCGAGTAATTCCGTTGGATAATAGAAATGTGGTGAATATAAAACAGATTTTCGAAATATTACAGCAAGTTTAGTTGGTTAGGTTAGGTTAGATTAGAACTGTTTGACAACTAAATTTGAGTGTCCGTGACTGGAAAACTGCCCCCCCCCCGGGCTCTGACGTCAATATGACGTAGGAACCTGCTTGGGGGGGTAGTTTTCCGGGGGGCAGTCTTCCGGCGACCCACATTTCAGACGTGAAAACTATTTCACATCAACAAAAACCGAGATATTCAAACTTGGGCTAACCGTATCCATTACCGGATTGGTACATTATTGTTAGTTCCTCGTAATCCGGACATAACGTAATATCGAGACAAATAATCGCATTAGCGTCGACGTAGATTGATGACATCGAGATATCAATCATGCAGACCTCATTGGCGCGCTGGCGGTTCATTATGGCGGGAACTTTGTTCTGACAACAACCGTTGTAACGCTCGGTTTTAATGACATGAGTGTACATACACGTGTTTTGCCCTTCCCTAATACTACACATGTGTGTGTTTAAAAAGTATTTGTATCAGTGCATAACGATTTAGTCAACTAACCAATCCACAAACAGAGGTCAACGCTTCAATCGGAGCACAGAGAAAAATCTCAGAAACAAACTGCCTACCCCTAATTTGAACGCATTTTCACCTAAACCCAAGTAAATGAAGCGAAAACTAGGCAAACCTGCAAAAAGTCGTCAGTAACGCCCGCCAATGCCGAAGTACACGGCGATAAGTGAGTCCAATCTAAATGCAAATCGAGGACCGGTAACGTAAGAGCGAAGTGACTTCAAAGTGGGGAACATCACTGCAATTTTGGCACCAGGTATTGACAAAGTGTCCGGCACCCCTCATTGCCCACCGCCACTGTCTAGCCGTCCGGCTCAATCCAATCACCAATGAATCAATCCGTGTCGCACAATGTATATATATTTTACATACGTCTATATGTGCCAAATATATTGTGTATATACACGCTACAGAGGTTTTAACAGTGCCTGATAACCCGCCCAATGTCTAGTCACCCGGCTAAATTCAATCATCAATGAATCACACGTTGTCATGCTATGTCACATCATATGTTACGTCTTCATATGACGGACCTGCTTGTTACATTAGAGATGACGGATTTGTACAACTTTCAAACTGAATTGGCTACTCGATCACAAACTGTGATGTAACGCTCTGAAGTTAAATTGGCATCTGCTGTAGTCAGATAGACAACAATAATAGAGTTAATACTGTGATCAAAAAGAGTTTTCAGAATTTTAGTTTAGGGAGGTTTTGTATTTACGTACTTACCGTCACAGGATAGAAAGAGAGCGCTTACCTCTTTATTCTGTGGTATTATTTAATCAAAAATTGTATAAAATAAAACTAAAACAGACAAAAATTAAATCATTGAGGTTTACCGCATTGCTTTAAATCTTAAGCAACAGAGATATTTATTTTATAATTTCATCCGTTAACAATATTTATTTTTTAAGCTTTGTACAGTATTAGCATTCTTACCAAGTTACTTGACTGGCCCAACTACAAAGACCACGATGTGTTTTGTCCGCCTAACTTGGTCACAGCTGTTTCCAATGTGATTGCTTCTATTTACTCGCGGCTTTATCAACTAAGTTTCCCAAGTCGGGGCCAAACACGACAAAGCCTACGTTTTCCATCTTGAGATTGCATCACGTTTGCAATATGGCGCGTTCTGCTATTAGGATTTCACAATATTGCCACGAACACGATATTAGAAAATAATAAATAACATTAAATAGGTTTATTTAAATGGGTCAGATTTATCGATAAAGTTCAGCATCTTTTATTTATGAAATTTTTTGTTTAACGATATTTATTACGACACCGACTGAATATAGCTTTCAAATTTAAACTTTTTTGTAATAATAATAATCATTACATATTTTTTTTCAAACATCGCTACAAACTATGTAAAAGTAGTACTTTACGAATGCAAATAATTAAAAGTACCACCAAACAGTGTTATTGAACAATGTAATAAGTCGAATACTGACATAATTACAATGAAATAAGCTACAACATCTTTAAATTTTGCGACAAGGTAGCTGCAGCCAGGAAAATTCTAATGTCGTAAAACGTACAGTAACGTCGTCTAACCTCTCAAGTCTACTTCAAAGCATATAATTGGCAATATCCAACAATATATCAAAGAACTCCTCTACTTCTACAGCACTCTTCTTCTACGACTTTCTTTGATCACTCTTCTTCCCACTCAGGGAAAGCTTTCATAAGGTTATCTTTACTGGGTAGTTCCTATCCTTGGCTTGTTGAACTTACTTAGATAAAGTACTAAACATTAGAAATAATAGCTATGGTACATTAAATTGTTATGTTAGAAGACAGATTTCACTTTCGATAACACGAAGAAAATTATAAAATTTAAATCGTCGTTAAACTAAGCAAAACTTAAACGGCATCAAAATCTTTTGCTATAGAAAAACTAAATAGTCCTTACCCTATTTTGCTACGAATGTTAACTAAGGTAGAGGAGAAACTGTGTTATTTAAACATATCCTAACCCTTAACCAGTAAGATTTGTGTAATACTGAAAAGTGGCCTAGAGGTTATTGAGGGTGGAAAGGGGGATGTGGATAATCCAATCGGCAATCATACTAGTGGACAATTCCATGTACATTCACTATACAACATCCAATAAATAATATCCGACTTAAATATTCCACCTTTCCCTTGTATGATGCATTTTCCATAGACCATAACTGTGTTTCCATTTGTCGAAGTTGTGTTTTATCCCAATTTGGCGCAAATAAGATAATTTCATTGTTACCTCCCCTTGCTCTATCCACACATGTTTTGCTCTATTACTCAATACTTTTTCACTTTTTCAAAAAAAATCCTATATTTAGTTGATGGCCACAAGAAACTATATTTTAAAATTCTAGGCATATCTTTGAACTAACTTCGAGTAGTTAAGGATATATTTGTTTATCAAAACTTAACGTTTTGCCATTAAAAACAAACATGTAATGAAATTTCTCTTCAGCTCATTGTTTGTATTCAGCTTCAATTCCTTGACACACACTCTTAGCATTTTCTCCAAAATAACTTTCCATATTTCTTTGCAAAAGCTGTTTAAATCCATTTAAACAGCCTTAAACTATTTTCGTCGTTAATTATCTATTAACTTTTCTCTTCCCGATGGCAAATGCTTGTATTCCAGCCTAATGAGAATGAGACCCAATAACAGCTGGAATAAATGAAGCAGCCAAGGTGTTAAAACAGTGGCATTACAGACGAAGCATTAACTAAAACTATCTTTCCAGGAATATTTACACGTTATTTTCAACATGGCACGTTCTTATAAAACATTGAACAAATTAAGTCAAAATTTAAAAATGTATCGTTATTTTCACTCACCAACTATTTCTGCCACCAGACTCTAATTGTTATTCTTTCGCATACCTGAAAAAATTAGATTTATTAGAGCACAAGTAAAACACAATCTAACTTAATTAAATCAAAAACTTAACTCATAATATCTGTGATTACAAAAGAACTGTTACATTCAGTAGCAAGATAGATTTCTCTATTCTCTAACACAGGGCCACGGCATTGGTGAGTTTTTTAATAATGCAGAATTATTGGCGTTGCAAAAAGTGGCAACGTCGCACCGGCCGGCAGACGCTCCTTGGATTGGTGCAAAAGCTGTTTCAGTAGGCCTTGACTGCGGCGTTGCCACTTTAGTCTCACCGCGGCCTTGTTATTAGAGGAGGTCATTGTAGCATGGATCTAAATTAACTTACTATTAAAAAACTGAACAATTATTCCACAAAGGACAATTTGTGGCGTAAAGAATCTTCATATACAACACATTTCCATAAATTTAACACCTAAATGTGTCTATTTCAAGAGGTGTGTAAGACACAAGATCAGTAACTTGTTAACCACAGCGGCTCGACAATTAAAACTTAACGCTCTGTCAAACTTTGCTAACTTGGCGTCATCTATTTGCATACAAACAACAGAAATTAACAAGTTTCTTCCGTAAGCCATATATCAAGTCTGACTGACGCTTACGTTTCTGTTAACCGTGTTGGGAACAATTGCAAGTCGTAACCTTCTAAGTGGCAGCATCTCTCCTTCCACTGGGGTAAAGCAAAGTTATGAACGTTGAGGGTAGGTTTGTTTCAGTTAAAATTTCTAGTCTTTGTTTAGGTACCTCTTTTTACTTGTTTACGTTATGTAATAATGTATAAAATTGTAAAAATGTATCGTTTCGTTGATCGGATTGAATTGCGGTATATCAACTTATGTGTTTGCCCCATGAAATAAATTATGGTTACTTCCTCTGCTCACCTTTGATAATGGTTTTTGACAAGCTAAAGGGAGAAGGTATGTATTAGATCGCTGACACAGATTTTTGTTTTAATGTTAGAGCAATTATGGACATAATATATGTATATTTGAGCTAGATTGCGATGCAATTAAATACAAAAATTGGAACTGCCTACTAGTTAAATATTTATATTAAGTGTTTGAGTTTTTAACCTGAATAAAATATTCCTTCGGTCAACGTATTAAACTTTTTGATTTAAATTTTATTTAGTCCGAGCGTTGAAATATTTATCTCATCCGAAACGAGTTTCAGAATCTGAATTCATTAGAGAAATTATGTAATTTGTATATTTGATCATGAAACTTATTTGTAAATCCAACCTTCCCTTATTTCCCCCCTGTATTTAGTAACCCTTTAATGAATTGTCATATTCGCCAATGCAATGTGATTAAGATTTGAATGGATATTTTATGCATTCATCATGCATTGAAATTGACAATATTTGACTAAAAGCCTAAATAAGTCGTTTAAATCTGATAACGGGGTAGCTTAAGCTGATGAATAAAGTAATGAAGGTTGTAAGTAATGTTTTGAAAACACTTGATGAGAAAACGTTTACGACTTGTAAAAACGCCATGGCCAGAGAAATGCAGAGTTGAAAATTGCTAAGCTAGATGAATGAGGTTCGTTTTTCCATCCACTTTTCTGCACTCTTTCAACCCAGCCTTCTTACAACACCCACTAATTCTTTGAGCAAACTTTTAATAAGTCCGAACTTGTAAATTACGACGACGCTTTATGCAAAGTTCTTCTTTCGTAATTTGTATTGCTTCGTTTGGATTTCGGGTTTTAAATACAGGTAGCAACACTGTTAAATGTTTACATAGTGCTCGTATTTTTTCGTTTTGCTTTTAGAAAAATAAAATATTTCGATATCACTTATGGCTTAGTTGTTGTAATACAATTTTGCTGGTATCTAATATTTGCTTCGCCAAATAAGGGAAATTATCATCAGTAGAGTTTAAATACCTACTACTTTTAATTTTTTGTTTAGAGTTGAGGTCATGTATAAATATCAGCAAATTTAAATTTATATCTATTAAAATATACAGACATTTGCCGTTAATTCACTACCACAATATAATGCGTATTGTTGGTTACTCATCACATAAATAAAGTTATACACAATTTCCTAAAAAATTTATGTGATGAGTAACCAACAAAACAAGATTAACAATGATAATTCCATCACGAAAAAAAGCATACCGGAATGAAATAATCCGTATTTTTAAGTTGTGTCTTGGGTCAAACCCAACTTAACCCGGTCCAGCCCAAATTAACCTAGTTCTAAACAGGATTTATAGATAATAACGACATTTCAACTTGAAAAACATAGTGGTAGTAAACTGACGAAAAAGGTAAAAAAATATAATAATTATTGTTGGAAGGATCGTGTGAAATAAAATCACCCGTAGTTTAATTCAGGATCTTTGTAATTTCGGAAACTCAAATTTTTCAGAAAATACAATACAACGAATGCATATCATATGGTCGGAATATAAACTGTTTTTCAAAGTAAATGGAAAACGAGAAAAATACCTATACTGTACTTAGTTTGAACTCTACATCGAAAATTTTAAACTGATTGATTATAATGTAAATAATTGTCCGTATGAGTACAGTATTGGGAATCAATGTTTCGATTTTACAATTCTATTTTATTACCGATTCTACGTAAAATGTGAACCTTTTGCTCACGTATTCTTGAAATATCACGCTAAAATTAGGAACTTTTATCTTCAAATTGTTATTTAATTAAAATATCTATACTTAAATTGTATTTTTAATTGCTCTGTTGACCTTTCCAGGACTACAACTCCGTGCTAGTGGACGGCATGTGTCAAATCCCAGACCCCTTGTACAAGCTGATCGGTTCCATCATCAGTTTCTACATACCGCTGGTGGTGATGCTGCTCACCTACGCTCTGACAGTGCGGCTATTAGCGGTACAGGAACACAATCTAGGAGGCTGCGGCGGCAACAGCTGGTCCAGCGGGTGGCTGGGAGGACCACAACCAACTGGTGAGCAATTAATTTAATTTAACCCTTTTTAATACTGTAGTTTGGTATTGATTTTCATATATAACGGGTATAACAAATTTGGGCCGTGTTCAGCGTTAAAATGAATTATTATTGGTCCTTCGAGCCGGATAAAACTATTGGTAATCCAATTGAGATTGTTAGTACTGTAATTTGGGTGTATTAGTACTGTAATTTGGGTGTATTACGTTAACCCTTCACGGACGGGTGACAGATGTATCCGCCTAAGTCTTTGGCGACAAAGGACGGGTGGCAGATATATCCGCATATGGTGTGTGATGTTCCGAACTGGAAGCAGATGTAGCGGATAAACGAAATGGGGAATGTTGGCGAGGTTTTACTTTGAAGTTAAATTGAATACACCTAAGTTCCTAAAATTGAGAGGCTGCTGGGCGGACCCCATTAAGTTCGTTTAAAATCATAGGATGTCGAAACTGTGGCTGCAAAATACAAAAGAAACTTACAACGATGACTTATGTTTTTTAATATATTGCAGTTAAAACCATTTTAAAATAAAACCGGCTAGTTACATTCCTATAGCGTCTTTATAACTTTGAGCTTAACAAACTGCTGTTTGCAACGACAGCATTAAAATATTGTGCATGGAAATTGTTCTTTAAAAAAAATTAGTCATAATTTGGCTACTTAAAGTCAGACAAATCCATACATATGAAGTTAATACATCGTGAAAAATCATAATAAACTGACTAAATTTGTGAAACAGATGTGGTTTCAAACCCACTGCAAAGTACATAAACAAATCGACTGCGTACAAATGAATAATCCTCAAATATAATGCAGATCCGTTGCCAAAGCGGTTTAAAAATTACAAAAGCATAACCATGTCCAACCTACACGGATAAATAAATGTAAATACGTTTGATGCGTTCAACGTGTTCATCCAGTTTGTTGAACAAGCCGACCGAACAAATAAACCCATCCGACGATCCCTGGCAATGGGAAAATTTGACGATTTAACGCTCCATTTGAATTGGTCATTTAGAGGGTAAAATTTAATTACTTCTTACTAAGTGTAACCAAAACTTGAAATTGGTTCACAAGTGTCGCAAACCCCAGTGATATTTGCGTGCCTGTTTATCACAATGTTTACAAATAGCATGTAATCAGTTTTACAAAATGATCTTTACCATTCACACCCAGATAGGGTGGAACTCGACATTTCCCGCGACACACCCCTCATCTACCAAGGGGAAGGTCAGTACTTGACATATGTTGACATTTCCCCACCCTTCCGGTCACTCCTGAGCCCCCTTGCCACTTCAACCCCCCCTTTCTACCCCCCTCTATTTCACCCTCGCTGACCTGTTTACCCACTGATCGATTTCCAACTTTCTCCAATAACTATCGATTTGTGTTATTGAACAATTAATTGCGATAATTGTGTTATCGATAAAATAAATCTAAAATCAAATGTTAACATGTACTGTTGTAAAATGTGTACTGACACCTAGTTTCGTTGCAATCGACGGCATATTTGAGCAACGGTGTTCAAAACCTAGTGATGATTTAGGAAGCGCTACTGATTTAGTTTAAACAATGCATAAACAAATTTAAAATATTTAATTTATTGACAATAAATGTGCGATGAAAAGAGCTGTGACAAGCTAGTTAAAACCATAGATTTTATTAATAAAAACACCTTCAATACTGGAACAGGTACCTATATATTTTAGTAACATCCACTATGTTTATGTTAATGTTAATGTATGAATGTTAATGTTGGAGATCCACTTTAATTATCACGCGACACGGACTTATATTTCAACGTTAATATTCAATTTTAGCCTGACCGAATAATTCCTAACAACAATGCAATTTAATTTAATTTAACAATGTAATTTATGGACTAACAATGCAATAACAAACCTTAAATCCCAATTCCAGACGATATATATCGAGTTAATCTCCTAAGTAGACCAGTTGACAAACAAAACGTGACATTGAGCGGGTACCGCCAGTAAAGTTGGCATCTAGGTTTCACTTGGCAAATCTCGTAATGTTTTCAAGAGGCAATTAATTAAAGGTTTAATTAATTCCCAGTAACTCGCCGCCGACAAAACTACAGGCACAATTTAACTTGCTAACGTTGTTGTACATTTTAATTAAACTACACAGAAGTCGCTGCCATCATTCTTGGCGTTTTGCATCTCTCACTCTTTCTCGCGCCCTATAAAACATAACTCCGCTTCCCAAAGGCAAGATTGTTTCCTTTTGTGGGTTTGCGGCTAATTTATTTCACACTCAACGAGAAGGGTGTGGCTTTTGGATCATCATTTATTGTTTCGTTACATTCAGGATCATTACTGAATTGTGTTCAATAGTTGTATTTATTAAAGGACACGAACAAATAACAATAACTAAGTATGATAAGGAAAAGGATAAAATTAAGCTACGGTACATAATGAGAAAGTAACTGTACACATTACTTGTTCTCAGAAGTATGTTGGATGCAAAATACGTTTACGACGGCTGATATTGTAACTAACTTAAATATGCATTACAATCTCAAATAAGTAATACCGTTTTGCAAAATTTAAATAGTAGGCATGCCAACAATTTCAAACCAAGATTTTATTGTAGTAATTTTAAGCCTAAAATTCTCCTAATTTACCTAACCAAACCTTGCAAAATAAATAATACATCTGGAGAGTACCAATCAGTTTATTGGCGGAAAACAGAATAATCGGTACATAAAAGACATTTAAATTAAATTTGTATATTCAAAAAATCGTCTTTGAGTGTCATTTCCCCTCTATAGCACACTCCCCAGCAGTGTTAGACCGCGCTGTCACTTTGTCCACAAGACGTCCACGATCACAGAACCCAGACCGCATTTAACGAGTCATTAGACAGTGACAAGGGGTTGCGGTTGGGGTGGGGGGAGAAGGCGAGTGGTGGGGGAAGTTGATAAATGAACCAGAGTCATCTGATTGGCCGGCGTACGGCAACCTTCCGCTGAAACATCTTTGACACTGACTAATAACACCACTTCCGTTCCGTACATTTGCTTTCAAAAAACCTCCCATGGATGCGAAAATTCCTAAAGAAAATTTTATGTTTATGTTTAATAAGAGGATTATTTATGAATTTCATGGACATTATGACAAATGTCATTTACAAAATATTACTGTAAAAATATTCGTTTGCTTTGATTCGTGTTGCTTAGGTGTTACCAATATTTTAACTAAATATTTTATTTTGTCACTTTTTTCATATAAAATTGACGATTTTCCATACTAAACTTTAGAAATAAAACTCTAAAACACCTCTAAACGCCCTACCAAGACGTACACTACAAAAAACATTTTAAATGATTTAACGATCATATAGAATAGGCCACATTATTAAAGTTTACATTTTATACGTAAATCAGAAATTTAATCAATTTTCGCAGTAGTAATAACAGTTAAGTATCTTAAATACATTATCAGTAAAAAGGTGACTGTATAGATTTTTTTCACTATTCCAATATAATACCGACAATGTACATAAGTAATGTATTTATTTAAGGAAAATACTAACAATCCTTTTATGTACTACTAATTCATGTGTAACGTTAAATTAAAAGATTAACACCACTACTCTAAATACAAAATCACACTTTATTGAATAACAAAATGTCACGTGTAAAACCACTTAATCAGAGGAGCATGACTATGATACAGGCTCAATCACAGTTCATTACAAGATTAGATGCACGCCACGATATATCCATCTCTTGCAGTCAATAATGTGCGATGCATGAATGAAACGCCATCAAATCATCCCGCCAACCCGACCAAGAGATTGTCCAATCGCGCCGGTTCACCAGCTTTCAATCACTTTCTTGCTATTTCCAAATTTAACGCAGATAAAATATATTTCACTGATGTTTATCTTGGGTGGATATGTGTTCACTAATGTTTGAGAAGAATAAAAAAATTTCTCAAAGAATTATTGTATGGCCTAAAGTTGAGAGGTAAACGGAATTTTTTTATTTACTTACAGAGCCAATACAAAGTCAACTTGATATACTAAAGCTTGAATATTTTAAATATGGTTTTTACTACGGATTTCACTATTTTGACAGGAAATCTTGGAAAAAGACGAAAATACTAACGTCAGCCTGCCACTATCTTCAATCTTGTCCTTGGGTTTGATTCATCAATCAGTAAAAAGAAACTGGCGTAAAATATGCATTTTACAATGGCAAGAAAATACGTTTTTATTCTAAGCATAAAACCAACTTTTGGCGCTGCGCTTGAGCTATAATTGACAACCACTTTTCACCATTATTACTAATTTGACAAGAAATATGACTATACATTTACAAGTTTCAAAATATAAAAAAATTTAGTTAAAAGGCCGTAGCACAATATATGTAAACATACAACAACAAACAATTTACAATAGAAAATTTGAATTAACATTTTTTTGTTTCTAATGCATCGACAAGGTAGACAATACATTCTACAAGCCATTTTAGGTGCTTCCTAAAAATTACATCGTAAGGCCTCAATTTTCTTTCACCAGCGGCGAGTACTACTAGCGGCTGGGAAACGGAGAGCAGATACTGAGTACCGACTGACTGGTGGCTACGACAACCTTGATTTGGTCAGTGGTGGGGGAACTACTGCGCCAATGGCGAGCCGTAGTCACAAGGGCACTCCCCACTACTCATGCTAGCGGCTATATGCTCTGTATGCCTACTAAAGTACCAAGAGACCGTTGACACTTCAATAGTTTTTTTATGGTACTTGAAGGGACAATATTACGTCGTTTTCATGTTAGTACATTTGAGGTTAAGATGGTAATTCTAAATGTATCCACAGGTATGGAGCGGAGATGCACATGGCGACGCCTGTTGACGGGCAAGTCGCCTCACACGTCACACAACACGCCCCCGCACCTCGCCCAGACACACATCCACGCACAACACGCGCACCACTCGTCCACGGACACGGATCTCACCACGCTGGACACACACGACTTGTGGCTGCAGGACACGGAACCGGCGCCCTCCACTATGTCCGCTCTGCACCAGTTTGGCGCCGAAATGCTCAGGCTTTCCCGCGGTCTGGAGAGCGCCATGAACACGCCAATGTCACTGCCCAAACTCAAGTAAGTGATCTTAACGTAGAACTGCGCTTTGAACCCAAGGGGTTGTAAAATTATTATAGTCGCAATAGCAAAACTGTGATTCTGTTTCCAATCGAAAGTATCTGGATAACGTCACAGTCATTCCCTTTGAGTTTCTCAGGTCACAATTCGAAAGAGGCCTAGGAGTAGTTTGTAAGCATCGTGCTAACTGTGATGTAAAGTAATAATTTTAAATCCTTATTACTGGTTAACGAAAGACCTTGAATTGATTTCAGTCGCGACTTATGGTGGCTCTAAGAGTACTGTAATACTAACTTGATTATCAAGTATTTGGATCGAGATCAAGAAAAAGAATTTAAATAAACCAAAAACATTCAAAAGTTTGTTTCTTTGCGATTAAAATCATTACAAATCTGTAGTCAAAAATTAATCACACCCTGATTGATAATGTGGTTGCATGGTTGCATGGCTAACGGCAATAACAGAATGTAACGACGCCGCGGTAGATAACGCCAACATAAACCGCGGGTGAGGGAACGAGAAACGGCGGTACACAGATTAGACGGTTAACAACCGACAGAGCTCATCACAACCTGTCAACGAGACGATGTATCTGACACATCACAAATCATCACAGTTACAAGTGACAAGTGATACATGAACAGCTGTAATGTGACGACTGTACCGATAATGACAGGCACTGCGTTCATCACAACCTGTCAACGAGACGATGTATCTGACACATCACAAATCATCACTGTTACAAGTGACAAGTAATACATGAACAGCGCGACAACTATACCGATAATGACAGGCGCTGCGTTCATCACAACCTGTCAACGAGACGATGTATCTGACATATCACAAATCGTCACAGTTACAAGTGACAAGAGATACATGAACAGCGCGACGACTGTACCAATAATGACAGGCACTGCGTTCACCACAACCTGTCAACGAGACTATCTACGTATCTGACACATCACAAATCAGTTGCAAGTGACAAGAGATACATGAACAGCTGTTATTACAGCTGTTGACGACTGCACAGACACTGACAGGCACTGCGTTCATCACAACCTGTCAACGAGACAATGTATCTGACACATCACAAATCACCACAGTTACAAGTGACAAGTGATACATGAACAGTTGTAATGTGACTTTTTTTTTTTTTTATTCATTGTTAAGCCCCTGAGCTGTATATATTATTGTAAGACTAGATTACTTACGTCAATAGCTCATTGAATTTCATTTCACGTTCATCGAAACATGTACTGAAACATGAAATGAAATTCAATGAGCTATTGACGTAAGTAATCTAGTCTTACAATGTAATGTGACGACTGTACAGACACTGACAGGCACTGCGTTCATCACAACCTGTCAACGAGACGATGTATCTGACACATCACAAATCACCACAGTTACAAGTGACAAGTGATACATGAACAGTTGTAATGTGACGACTGTACAGACACTGACTGGCACTGCGTTCATCACAACCTGTCAACGAGACGATGTATCTGACACATCACAAATCACCACAGTTACAAGTGACAAGTGATACATGAACAGCTGTAATGTGACAACTGTACAGACACTGACTGGCGCTGCGTTGTAATGCGACGACTGTACCGATAATGACAGGCAATGCGTTTATCACAACCTGTCGACGAGACGATGTATCTGACACATCACAAACCACCACAGTTACAAGTGACATGAGATACATGAACAGCTTTAATGTGACAACTGTACAGACACTGACAGGCGCTGCGGTGTAATGTGACGACTGTACCGATAATGACAGGCACTGCGTTTATCACAACCTGTCAACGAGACGATATCCTTTGCGTCACATCACAAATCACTTCAATTACAAGTGACAAGTAATAAATGAACAGCTATAATGTGACGACGGAATAGAGACGACAGTTAAACGCTAAATTATGCATTTCTTGTCACCAATCAATCTAAGTAGGCCTACTGTATACGTTTATTTCGCAGACATCCTCTGAACGAGTGAGCGAAACTAAATTCTTCCCTACGAGGTCCTTCATTATTAACAAAAAATATAATTGTATAATATTTTTAAGTATTTTTTTCGTTTTTGACTGTATCTTTGTATTCCAAACAATCAACGCTCTAATGATTTGTTTTCCTGTACAGCAACACTACTACACACCAATTATCCCTCTAGAATCCTGATACACAATGGTCCGCCACTAAACAGCTGTTTTATTAGCTCACTCGACACAGGCCGAGCACCTACTACAAGTCATAAACAACCCCATCAATCGCGGAAAGGAAATTAACATCGAGATTGCCTCTTTCAGTCCAGCATCGATCGCTGAACTCTGCAACAGCGGAGTTTGCTGTTCGATAGAAAACGCAAGCTGTCGTTCAATTAAATTTAAAATACTTAAAAAGTTGATATATTTATTAACCATTACACTACACGAATAAAATCCCGTTTTGGAGGGAAAACGCGGTCAGGACGTGCATAAAGTGCGCTATAAATTATGAGTAGACGAAGTTAACGGGCTGAAATAGATTGTCGACGGGAGGTCGCTTTGTAAGCTATTGTTGGCTCCAAAGTGTACACTGTCAAACATACTGTGTATTTCACACACACAAACGCTAGTCACAGTGACTCATTAAAACGTAATATGACGTTGAAACGTGATTCGCTGCTAATCGCGCGTCCTCGTTATAAAATATTTCGTTGCTCAAATGGTTTCGCCGAATAAAAACGTTTTGAAATTTTATGCCTGGCCATTTGATCCCAGCATTGGAAATTTTTTAAATCAAGACAGTTAATTTTTCGGAAGATTAAACAAAACGTAAAATAGTTTGGCTTTAATATTTAATTGTTTAGCACGCTTTGTAATCCAACATGTCATGTGGCCAGTTTAACAAATATTTATTTTATGCCTTCAACTAAAGATATACTTTCTTTTTATTAAATCCAAATTAAAATAAACATTCTCTCTATGCGTATTTGTGTGTTTAAGCTTTGAAAAAAGTGCTTAAAAATAAAATGCAACCTTTTCCGTAAGACTATCACTATGTTTTCAACGCTGAAATAATGTTATGACTATCTACGAGGTTAATTTCAGTTAGGTTAGGTTAGGGGTATGTTAAGTCAGAACTGATGAAAATAACCTAAAACTTCGAATGTGAATTGTTACATAGTGTTAAAAAGTCAGTTTTCAATTTGGCAAACAATTCAAATCATAATCATCTCAAAGAGTGTAGAGTGTCCTCACAAGTTTTATTCAAAGCCACATTTATTTCACCCGATAAAAAAGTGAAACAACAAAAGTGTCTTAGACTGAAATGAAACGGAAAATGGAAACTCCTGATTGGAGTTCTAGTGAAGTTGAGAAAGAATGTTTTCGGCGTGAAAGAACAATGACACAGGTCTTTCCATTCCATTATTACATTCCTCGCCAAGTTCTCGTCCGAAATTACCGTCCGCCTCTGTTCTCGTCTTCTGTTTTCATTATCTTTCGCAATCGTAAGAATTAGACAGCATCATACCTACGAGGTGTTCGTGTTCATAAGTAGCGAAAGAGTATTTGTATAGAAAAACAAGTTTCAAAGACGATTAGATTTATCATAATAGTAGGGGCATATATATTTTAACTACATTTCCAAAAAATATATCTAAATTGTCAAATTGTTGAACCCATACGTATTTGTATACCACTAAAAAGGTTTATCAGCTTCTAAAGACAATGACTAACACCACAACTGACTTGAGACACCACAACTAATAAAAATGTCAAAACCATTTGCAAACACATCGGTTCTGTGTGTTACAAAACTAAATCAAGCCATCTAACTGGATCGCAGAAAAGAGATAAAAGCTTAAGAGAAGAGATAAAAATGTAATACCCTAAGAGAGCAGTCGTTGATTGCACGAAGCATCGTTTAAGTTAACCAAATACAATGACAGTTTTAGTCATGCATTGGTCGTTTTAGTTAGATTCCGGGATCTTCGTCTCGAAGTCCTTAAAGTGACTTATCCGTATATTATATTTTAATAAGTATTCGCCTTAATCTCTAGGTAACGCACAAGGCTGCATCGGTAAAAATCTGTTTACCAAAGTCAAATACTTATTGGGGAGCTGCATTAAATTCGCATCTAATGCACTAATGTTGGTTGGATGGTAGATTAAATATTTGTCTTTAATTACGTTACATGAAAAAATACAATCATCTATTCCGTTAAAAATTGATGTCAAAAATAAAGTAACATGTTTTACCAGATGAACGGATGTTCTCAAGGGCCGATTTTTATGATAATTCTTATCGAAGACCACTGATGAAATATTCTAAATTATTCACAGCCCATTTTTCAGAACAAGATCAGTGTTTCATTATAAATACATTTATTACAAAAACCCATGATAATTGAACCATATAAAAAACTTTAGTTAATTAATATTGAAAACTAGAAAATCTCAAACCGCTTTTTGTTCAAAACAATTCTAAACCAGTGAGTGTCAAAGCGATATGCCAACTTGTAACATAACCAGGGTTGACGTGGTTTATTGGAGGGTAACGATGACTCAAAGCTATCGTTTACGATTGCTGAGCAACGAGCAAGTCACATCGTGTTACTTGTCACGGCATGACTGAGCACTATTGATATTAATGTGCGTTTTGAGACAAACGATGGGGTGTAAATAATATCTGCAACACATAGTTATTTTCCTTGTCACAAAAGGTGCCTGCTACTTAAAAACTGCTAGTAGTTCCTCGTTAACACATTGCTACCCCTATCAACAATACTATGATTATTTTTTTTACTACACAAGTTTAAGCATTTCTAGGCTCTAGGGTGTTGTGTAAATAAACTAAGTTGGTATTTTTCCTTGGCCAATGAGCTAAAAACTTTCTATCTGCTTCTGAATTCACCAAACCGAGACATTTATCGTCACGTTGCTGAAATCTTGATAATTGGGTATTATTTAAGCACTCCGTCGACATAGAGTTCTTACCACTCTTGT